CAGATACTGTGTTATATTTCAGATTACAATAAAAGTCATAATTACATATGGAGAAACTTTCTTGTTGAAGTTTCATGGATTAGTATATGAATTCTTATAAACTGCTCAATAAATTACTTATAAAGAATATAATATCCGTCATTACCAAACTTTCATGGTAATTTTTATTTAACAGTAAAATATTGCATTTTTTGAGGAAATTAGAAAGCACTGCCACTTACAGCATTGTGTGCAAGCGACTCTTAAAATAAATGCAAATTTCTACATTTTGAGTAACTAAGTATGTTACAAAATAAGAGCGTAATTCTCCATGAGGCAATACTTTATGATGAAATAATAAGTGGTTTTTCTTCTTGTCATTCATCACTGCTGTTTTAAACAACTCATTTTGACTTCCTTGTATGAAGTAAAAAAAAGTATTGTAATCACAAAAAATTTTGGGTATCATATTTCAATGAAAATATCCATTGTGACAGCTATCGAATGCAATTTAAGAAGTTTTTGAATGACATCTGCACATAAAGACAGAATAAAGGACTGAATTCTGAAGAGAATTTTTTGTGGCATCTGTGCATACATATCTCACATAACTCAAAAACGAGTAGCTTCAGTACATTGAAATTTTGTATGTAGGACTGCTACAACATGTAGATGTGCACCTCATATTTTGCTTGCAATCAGCCGCACCAGAAGTATATATATCCACTCAGTTACTCGGCTCAGTGAGCTCAGTTTCTTTATTCTTATATGTTTGTAAATTGTGCATTTTTGCTTTAGAAATAATGGAATTATGTTGTTCTGGTTAAGATTTTTATGCCTTTAGGTAACCTGCATGCATTAATTATGGTACGAGGGCCATCCAGGAAGTAGATTACGTTTCCGTCTGTGTCCGCTAGGGGCGGGGCTAGCGCGGCCATCTTGGGGTCAGAGCGTTGCGCAGCTCAGTCTGCATCTAGCCGTGCTAGTGAGAGGTTCGTGCTGTGCTCCGTTCAGATACTGTGACGGTTTGAAATGTCTGCGTTAATTGAAAATCCCGCGAGCTGCGAGGTGCGCTCAGTAATAAGGTTTCTGACTGCAAAAAACTGTAAACCGATAGAAATCTATCGGCAGCTTCGTGAAGTGTATGGGGACAACATTATCACTGAAGGTGGAGTGCGTCAGTGGGTCATAAGATTTCAAAATGGCCGAACCAATGTTCACGACGAAGATCGAAGTGGGAGACCCAGCATAGTGACCGCCGAACTTCTCGAAAAAGTCGATGCTAAAGTCCGTGAAAATCGAAATTTCACAATAACGGAACTTTCTTTGAGTTTTCCATAAATTTCGCGAAGTTTGTTGCACGAAATCATCAGAAAAGCTTGGTTACCACAAGTTTTGTGCAGATGGATTCCAAAATCTTGACAGAGGACCACAAAATCAGCGAATGGCTGCAGCGTTGAACTTTTTGGACGCTTACCATAAGGATGGTGACTCTTTACTCGATCGCATCGTTTACTGGTGACGAAACATGGGTGAAACATGTGAACTGTGAAACGAAATTGCAATCAATGCGTTTTGATGACGACGCACAGCTGCAAGAAGAGGTAACGAAGTGGTTGAAGGCGCAGGCGGCCGAATTTTTCGACGAAGGAATTTCCAAGCTCGTACATCGCTACGATAAATGCCTTAATTTGTATGGTGACTATGTAGAAAAGTAGTATTTGAGTGTGGCTTTCATCTGTATATAATAAAATTTGTTTCCTATACTTTGTTTATTTTTTTATTCCAAAACGTAATCTACTTTCTGGATAGCCCTCGTATTATGAACAATAGAAAAGTTTTTTAAGTGCAGCTAAGCCTACTTTTTGACTACCATGGTGGCCATGTTTGTTTACATTTGAAACTTAGCAGAATAGTGGATTTGTTGCCAATCTAGAAAAACTAAGCTTTGCAACAACAAAGATAACACCTTCATTTATCATTCTGAATTAAATCATGCTTGATCCATTCTGGAATTCATTCGAGGAAATAAGTGTTTAAGATTTACTTCGTAATTTTTAATACAGATATTTTGAGTTTTTATGTATTTTTGCCTTGTTGTGAAGTGAGAACTGAATTAATTAAGTAAGAAATACTGAATCGTCTGTGAAAAACTGTTTCTTTTTTTCTTTTCTTTTCTTTTTTTTTTTTTTGTTTTTGTTTAATTTCTTTTATATAGCATTTTAGATTTATTATAGTATTTGAATAGAACATGTGACAACAATTAGATAATTTTTCAGACGATATAAATTTTGTGCATTCTGAGTTATAAAATGAATGAAATGTAACGCTGTTAAGTGAACCTAGTGCCAAAGTGTCACTATGATAAACAAATATGGTGAATTTTAAAGAGAACATTTATTCTATAGCATTATTCTATATTTATGCATTATCAATGAAGTAGATTTAATTCAATCCGATAAGTTTAAATGAAATGCAAGAAAAAATGTGTATAATTTAATATTCCGTATAAGGAAGTCATATGGTGTACACATCAGATTTTAAAACGCAAGATTTAAATGTTTTTATAACTTTAATTTTCAAACAATTAGTTCTTAACTAGTAAATCTATCATAACTGGAACTTTTACTGTTTATGTATACATATAAAGTAAAAGTTCTACTATCCGAAAAGCTTGGGAAATGCAAAATTCAGGACACATGAAAATTCCAGATAACTGAGCATATAAAAAATGGAATTAACATTAGAAAAGCCAAATCAATGGGAAAAATTTCTGCTTTAAAATTGCAAAAACAATCATTTTGTTCGCTATTAACTTGAATATCAAAAGCCTACATTTGAAATCATATATGATTTCAAAAAAAAAAAAAAAAAAAAAAAAAAAAAAAAAAAAAAAAAGATAACGCATTTCAGTCATAAAAGACAATGTACTTCAACTGTTATGAAATCTCCTCCAACATGCAAGTTGGTGGAAAGGAATAGAACTATTTAGTTAGATAATAAAGAAATACATATTAGTGATATTATAATATATAATATACAAAAAAAATTAAATCTCTTATTTACAATTTTCACATTACATCGCCATTGTTTATCTATTTTCAAAGTCATGTATTGTGGTTTTTTTCCTGATGCCCAGATTTTTTAACTTTGAAAATACTCCATGCATTCCCAAATATTAAAATTTTTTTCAAAATGTGAGGAAAAAAATAGAACTTATATATATCTAATATAGTTTTAATCATATTCAACAAAATCTCAGTTTTAGGTTATTTGAATATGGTAAAGCCACAAAGGCTAAGTGATTAAGTAGAAGGATGCTTTCATTGAAGACTTTCTGATGGAAATTGGCTCATATTCATGTTTCACATGGAGAAACACAAGAAAATAACCTTGCGGTTAAACCCAAAACAGGTTCAACTACAGTATTTGGCAGTCTTATCTACTGGTGTTAAATGGCAAATTTTCGTAATTAGCTTTCTGCACACATACAGCACAATATGGCTTGCTTAAAGGTGTTATGTAGCTTTTTTCCATCTCTGTTTAGCATTTTGGTTGTGCACAGTGCTGAAGTCAAGCACAATGCTGAGAGTGCCATTCTCTGATGTTTTTTTCAGCAAAATCAGATCACTGTATATCATGGGAACAATAGTGCAGTAAAATCTGATGAGAAGTGTGCATGGCTTGCATGAAAAAAGAAGATTCTAAAATATGGCCAGCGCTAAATGCATTGTTGAAACAGATGTAAAGATATCCAAACAAATGTTTCTCTCCAAAGTCGACAACAAATTGGCGACTTTTCAACAGGTGTGTGGATAATCACAAATATTCTACATACGAACCTATAATTTGTTCTATATTTCTAACTCAATATATAATGAATATTCTTTTGCATATTTAATAAAGAAATAGTGTTAAAAGGAAATATTATATATTTTCCAGATCTAAAAAATTTATCGCAATTTAAAAGTATTTTCTATGGCAATTTTGAAGCAGAGAAGACCTGCAGACTGATAACAATCACAGCTTATTTGGATAATTTTCTAGGTACTTCCTGATTAACCACTCCATAGAAAGTCTTCAACTTAACTGCCAAGTTTGTAAATTAGTAAAACACTTTTGTATGGCTATTTTTCTGTTCATAGAAATCATGACGTTTTATTGTTTTGCTTATTATCAATTATTTAAACAAAAATAATACAATTCAAATATTTTTACGAGGCTAAAATGAAATACTCTTTTCTAGATAAACTTATACAGTTAAATATTGTATTTTAATTCATATAAAACTGTAATGTATGCTAATATAATTATATAAAAAATTAGATAAATTTCTATAGTTATAGACAATGAAACTAAACACATATTTTTTTTTCAAAACCTCACTTTAAACAAAGAAGATTTACCCATAAATACTGTATATTCAAAGACATAAACTGTGAAAAGAGGGAACTGCTATTATTCTTTGTTTAGTCTATTTTTGGTAAAAACCTTTTACAATTCTGCACGGACTGTTGAAATACTTAATAAACAGCAAACATACTAGCGTATAAAACTGTATTTTCATTAATGTTTAGGGCTACATATGTAGCAAACTTTTTAAACCACTACATTGCCTAAATTCTACACATGACAGAACCAATATAAGACATCTTGGCCTGTGAATGCATAATATGTTTTAATCAATAATTAAGAGCACATTTTTCATTTATAACTATGGAATGTTTCAAGATAATAATTATATAATATCTTTATAAAAGTGTTTGCAAGTACAATAATACTCAAAACAAATTCAACACATAAAGAACTTAAAATTCCACTTCGAGCACATTTTTCAAATATTTTTATTTATGAAATTTAAAACTAATCAACTTCTAACCTAAAATTTAACAGAATCCATTAACCATAAATAGTAATAGAAAAATCACAAATAGAAATGAAAAATAATTCAATTCTTATACGCAAAATAAGGCTAATGTCTAAGGAACTTAAGAAATAAGCAAAAGAAATATCCTAATCACCTGCAGGTCAATATTCATCTGAGACATCTGAAAAAATGTAGGATAAGCACCCTTAGGAATGGAAGCAAATGAGCCAACCACAGGTTCAGGATCAATTTCAGGTGGGGATGACTGTTGCAAATCATATGCTTTTTGAATTAAGATGGATGCTGAAATTCCGTGTTTCCTATAACATCCCTGAAATCAATAATGTTAAAATTATCAACAGTTTTATATGGTAAGTTCAAAAATTCTGAAAAGATTTCAAATATAAAACTGTAATCAGGAAAAAATACAGTTCGATTTTATTTTTATATTATAAAAATATATTTGATTACATTAAACTTTCAGTGTGAAGAAATTCATACATTGTGTAAGGCAATATATAAAGAATATCTAAACACAACAGTGATGGAGATTGAAAAATTCTGGATTACTTTATTACAGGGCTGACATAAAATAGTTTATGTCTTACCAAGGCCAAAAAAAATTGGAAGAAACTAATAAAAACACTTAAAATATTTTATTGATTAATAATATTTATTAATTCACTAAATTAAAATCAATACATAGAAAGTTATGCATATTAATTACAAAAATAATTAATTATTGCTTTAAATAGCCTGTAATTCTAATAATAGAAAAAGGATAAATATATTCAGCTTTTCTTACTTATATCACTGTACTTCAACAACATGGGCTTAAATTAATTTGTAATAAAAAATAGGACACATCCCTTTCCTAAATCAGGCAACTTTCCCATGTTTTACTGACTAAACATGGAAATAAAAGTGGCAAATAAACTGATAAAAATGAATAATTTTCTCATTGACCTGTCTGAGTTCAGGAATCATAGAAGCTGAGACACTGAAGCTAATGAATTATAAACGAGTCACCAATCACACCTTATCTTACAAATTTAAGTAGTAGTTTCATGTTCAATTTTGTTTGAAAATTTTGTTTAAAAGAAGTTTGAATGTAATTTAATGGCATTGCCAATGCTATTATGCCTACTTCGAGAGATTAAGAGAATGAATTTAAAGGTTTTATAAGCTAAAAGAAATTAATAAGAAGATTACAGGAAAACATGTTAGTTTAAAAAATATTGTCAGAGTTAAACCTTGCAAGGACAGCACCAGGAAAAGTGCTCCAATGACTTCAGCGGTAAAAATAAGCAATATGTACGTATGCTTTCTGACATGGAAATTATGGAAGTATCTCAACATTTACTAAATAAATCAGCTTTTAAAGTTAATAAAGTTGAAAAGAAATTAGAGCAGGATTGAGAAAAGAACCTTAAGATAAACAGACTTTTATTATATCAGGCCAGTATGAGATACTTTATAAATAAAAACAAAATCTTTGATGTAGTAACAACATAGTTATTTTACAGTTGTAATATTCCATTCTCTGACAGCAAACATCCATTCTTTAAAAGTATGACCAATATATTAAGACCAGTTACATATTTCCTAAGAGAAAACATGTGACTGGATAATCTTCAAAATCAGAAATATTGAGCTAAATGATTAAAGTTCATAATGGTAGACAAAGTACACAGTAGAATCAAACTGAATACTGAAAAGAAAAACTGTGGTAAAACAGTTGTAGGGATTCAAGATGGTTGAATTACATCCATAGTGACCGTATTGGTAACAAAGCTATTCATGCTGGTAATTGAATGTATTTTCTTTAAATCTATGAGAGCAAAACTGCAAGTAGCCAGGACAGTAGTAACAGTAGAAGAAAAGAAAAGTAGATATAAAGAAAAAGCTATTATGATGACAAGTAATGAGTGTAATTGAGAAGGGAGGTTCATGAAATAAGACATTTTCTTCATACAATTAATGAATGTTTTGCTTAGTATTATAATCTTATGAAGAAAGTCCTGTCTGTTAAATAATGATCATAAATAAAATACTTGGTTTACTGTAATGACATGAAACCACAAAAATCCAAAAATATAAGGTAGAATAATCTGACAGATAGCTTGGAATCATTCATAAGAAACTGTTCACATCACACTATTAGATACTTTAAAATGGTAATGATACTGATGACAAAGTAATGTTAAATATTATTGTAAATCAATATAAATTGTACAGGTATCAGTATAAATTGTGATTATATAAGGAGTAAAATTCTTGTAACAGTTGTTAACACCAAGCCAGTAATTGCAGAAGTTTTGCCCAACTGTTTCACAAGATGCGATCAAAAACTAAGAGCTCTGCTATGTTAGTTAAATTTGGACAACACTAATGGCTGAAGATAATCTTTAAAAATCTTCTGAAAAACAAATAAAAAATAGTTTTTGATCAGGCAGTACCTTAACATCAAATGCTTGCTGATTCATCTACAGTACAAGAAATCTAAATTATCAAAATGAGTAGGAAGAAAGTACTAGGACTATCATGACATAAACCCAAATTTTATGCCAAAGCTTTTCATGCAAAATCAGCTCTTTTCTGTAAAAGTCACAAATTGATCCAACTTCTACATGGTGGTCTAATTTAAAATAACCTAAATGAAGTTTAAAAACCCTTACTTGCCTAATGATGACATTTTCCCACAAGCGCAAGGGATTCAAAGAACATTCTCCTGCTTTTCATTTATTCTTAATAAATTAAGAATTTCTTTGGACTTTGAAACAACAGTGAAATTGGCCTTATGCTATGAGCTACTTTCTCGAATGCGATGCTATATTATCTTTGAATAAATATTATAAATGCTGTGGCTGAACTTGTTTAATTTTAAAATACATTTCTCTCTACTGCTTACAATTCTATAATAAGTTTCAGTTATTTCATGAGAATCTGTTAGTTACTGCCACTTTATGCTGGTTTTAACAGGTTACAACCAGTGATTTTAACCACTTTGGTAGAAGCTTGCCAGATCTGCTTTATTAAAAAAATAAAAATATAATAATGATAAAAATGAATTCAAAAATATTCACAGGAAATGAACAGCATTTACCTAAATATGGCAACAACCAAGGGGAGCAATTTACTTGAATGCAAAAACAAATGAACTCAGTAGAGTGACAAATCTATTACAATAGAATACATTTAATTGAATTTAGATTCTCTAAAGAAAGAAAACTATAGTGCTATTCAGAATGACTTTACTAACCTTAAATTGTTCCAGAGTTTTACAACGCAATAACACATCTCGCATGACAATATTAAAAGCAGCGGCACAATACATAAGAAATCCCATACGATTAGAAAATATATTGTCCCACAATTTAAGCCACTGTCTTTTATTAAATACTTCTGAAAATGATGTCTGTAGGAGATTCCACCCATATATCTGTAAAATAAATTTATGTGTTTATATATGTAACATATTTTAATTTTTTTATAATTTTCTAAATACAGTATCATTTTAAATATCAAGATTGACTGCAATCAAACTGAAAATTTACAGTAATTTGTTAATTTATGTCTGTATACCAAACATGCTTATTTCAATGCAAAAGTGAGGATTTTGCTTTATTTAATCCCATTTAACTCCAGCAAAAATTATACATTTAAAAAACAATAAAATATTTTTATTTGTTAAATAAAATGCAAAACCTGTTAATTTTGACATTAAACAATGAAAGTTTTTTATTGTTTAATCTCATAGTTTATTTGTATTTCAACTGCAATAAAATGATAAAAATAATTTTTATTTATGGAAGCCATAAAACAAATTGAAATTTTTGAAAATTTTATTGCTTTAAGATGAAAGCAAAGAAAGAATTACTTTCTATTTGCTTAAATAAATACATAATACATTTTTATTAAACTAAAAAAGTCGCTTAAATTCAATGCTCATTGTAACTAGTATATAGTATATTTTTAAAGGAGAGAGACAAAAATAAATTCTTAATGTTTTACAAAATAAACAAAGAAGTATGTATAAATTACAATATGTAATTACATTTTATTACTAATGTTTAAAAGCTGCATGTTTGCCAGATGACAAGTATGACTGATATGAGATGCCATATACTGAAATAAAAAAATGAGTACATATTTAATTCAATATTTTCCTTAGCTTACAGTAAATTAACTTCTATTATAAGCCAATAAATAAGACATATGTATTTGTTTAAAATTTAATTGTTCAACCTAAACACGTATGAAACATGTCTAGCAACCTGTCACATCCCATAAAGTTTTAATAATAACTAGTAAATTTGAGATATCATTTGCTTAAAATTTATAAATTCAATCTATTTTCCTGTACTGTTAATACTAATATGGTTTTGTACCTGTCTCTGTAATGATGCTTGTAATTAGAGTTAGTATATTTAAATCCTCAAATCCCACAGATTTTGGGAAAAGAAAGAAAGAAAGAAAAAAGAATAATCCAAGATTCAAATACTTAAATCTTTTTTTTTTTTTTTTGGTGTGTGTGTGCGTTATTTTAAGTCTTAATCGAAAAAACTGTTCAGTACAGTACAAAGTCCGAGACCTGGACACACTGGAATTTCAAAGTTTGTGGATTTCCAAATTTTTCTAGATTAGATCATAGTTTAATCAAGTCATATAGCATATTATAAAGCATATTATATAAAGCATATTATAAAATTAAAAATTTGAAACAGTTGTTTACAGGGTTTGTACACATTTCTGCACATGGAAATTAAGTACTTTTAAGGACTTTTAAGGACCATTAATGGAAAAAATTAAGGACCTATGAGCAAATGGGAACTGAATAAATTCAATTAAAAATATTATTCTATGCCTGAATTTCACTTTTGTAATACCATCCTAAAAATAAAATAGATCCCTAAGTAATATGAATTATTACTAAATATGAATTAATTAACATAATTATTAATAAGTTTGAGAATAAAATAAACTTATGCAATTTATCAAGTAGCATTAAATATTTTACACTTAATAATAGTTGTGCATATTTGAAAGAAGATAAGTGACATTTACGTTTTACTAATAGTTAGCTTTATGCTGATTTTTTTATCTCATTTTGTCACATACTTGGTCAGTCTAGAGGTTTAGTAAATAGCAGGTATTAGATTTTATGTCAAGCGGAATAGGTTAAAATGAGAAGTAAGATCATAATCAACATGATTCATAACAAAATACTTAATGCTGTCACCGCTGCTGTTTGTCCAGAGAGAGACATGCTGATTCGAACAAACCTGAAAGGCCTGATGAAGGCATGGTTGGCAAGTGTTGAAATTTAGTCAGGCTCTGTTTGATGCAGTTAGTGTCATAGCTTTGTGTAAAATTCCAGGGGTTGCAACCCAGTTCATATACTTTCAGGTTCCAATAAGCCATTAAAGCAACCAGAGGTGATAAGTTGTTTTGTATTATTTAAAGTCTCACTAGATGCAAAGTATAAGTTTTACCTGAATTTCTGCATTTTTGTGTTTTATATTGTGACCACAGTGAGTATTAATGAAAGGCAATAACTCGCCTTAATATGTAGAGATAATTTCTAAGGGTAAGCAGTTAGTTATAAATAATTAAATTAGGTAAATAGGTAACCTTAGTCATTATGCATTTACATGGCCACTATTAAATTTTATTTTTTAACAATATTTGTTAAAAAAGCCCTATTAAAATCAAAATCTGATAAAATTGCACAGTTTAAAATACATGTAATTTATGACACTGATTCTTAAACGATATTAGATTAATTACACATTAAAAGTTACAAAAAATTAATGTTTTGTAACAACAATACTCAACAAAATGTTTATCCGTCATTTTAATTTGAAGCCTTCCCAAACATTTCGATACTTTATATTAAGCATCTTCTCTAACAATGAGAGATTTGTCTCAATATGCAAACCAATGCTCTCGCTAGTTTCTGCGGGCTTATCTCCCAACTTATCAACCTCTCCACAAAGTACCTATGAGGGTTTAATTGATCTGGTAAAAGTTAAATAGTCCCAAGCCTCAGACAGAAATGAAGCAAATTATCGCTATGTCTGAAAGTAATTACAATATCAGACAAAGGTTTAAAAAGAATTTTTTTATTTAAAAAGCTTCTTATTTAAAAAGAGCTTAGAACATAAAGGCATGTTCTGATGCTAACAAAATCAATTACAGCTCACGGTGATGTAATTAAATAAGAGCAGTCAAATTCAAAATCAAAATGTGGACTAGTGGTCAAAGATTATACAATTTAATTTAAATTTAATCTGGCTCAGTAACTCTATCATTTGAGAAAATAGACATTATTACATAATAATAACTGCACATATCTTTGAAGAATAATTTTCTTTAAGTATTCAGTTTCTTTCTTCAACACGTTTCCTTTTTCATTTTAGAATTTTGGGATTTAATTAAGGATTTCTCTTATTCTAAAAAACACTAAATGCACTTAGAATATATAGAAAGAGTGGCTAATTTTATTTCTTTAGTAATATGATTATTCAGAAAAAATATGAAATATATATGGTAAAGGCCGGTTACAGAGCTGGTGTGGCAGAATCTTTAGAATTTAGTGACACATGGAACAACAAAATCTAGAAATGGCAAAACTCTTAGAATTTAGAGCAGACATTGGAAGCAGAATTTAAAAAGGCACTAGGCAGCAGAATTTAGGATCCACAGAGATTGCTTTTTATATATTTAGAAAAACAGTGTCTTATTATACCTTTATTACATTTCATAATAAGTTTGAGATTTAAATTACAATAATTATGTTAAAAGTAAATTTGATACTACAGTAATATTTTTGGGTTCAAAAATGATAATTTATTATTCAATTTTTAAAATTTTGTTACATCAATAAGTAATACTAAATTCAAAAGTAGAAAAAAATTCTATTTGTGGGAAAATGCCTAGCGTGCCAGACTCTGCGTATGATGCATTAAGACATATTAGACGAATGTTTTAAATTGTAAGTTTTCAATTTCTTTATTAATCAAAAAATTCCTTTCTATGATGCCTGTCCATGTAATAAGATTAGAAGCATTTTTAATATTTTCCAATGCTTGTATCTAGTGAAAAGTAGAGAAAATAAAGGGAAGATAAAGCATGCTAAGAAAAAGATTCTAGTATCAGGAGTAAAACATTCAAATATTATGTTTTCATTGTTCTTCCAGACCTCCAAAAAATAAGAAATTTATCACAAACTTTTTGTAAAATGCATCCATTATGTGTTGATACCATGGAGATATTTTTCATTTTGTCACATATTTCTCGAATCTTCTAGAATCGTGGGTCTATAAATCTTGCCTTCAAATCCTTCTAAACTTTCCAAGCTGCAATGTCTAAAATACTTAAGAAAAATTATCCCTACCAATTCTGTAACAGCAAAAAGCCAGAAATATTTTGGGTGGGGAAAAAAAAAAAAAAAAAAAAAAAAAAAAAAAAAAAAAAGGGGAGGGAAAAAGTGTAAAATTAATTTTATAGAGAAAGCTGATGCATTTTCTGAGAATTCTGAATATTCTGAGACAATTACATAGAAAAAACGCTTACTACGAAAAAATTAAAAAGAAGACATTTTTAATTAATTACACAGTTAATTTTGCTTTTGCTAAAAGCTGTTTCGTAAATTAGGCTTTATAGCATTATGCCTTGTGTATTTTTCAGATTCAAATTATTGTATAAGTTGCCAAAATGAAACTTTATAATATGACAGCGAAAAATAACAATGTTTTATTTAAATTTTATTTTTTAAATATAATTTCAATATATTCACCTATTATTTTAATGAAGTTTATCAATGTTACGATGTTTTAAAAAAAATCGTCGACAAATTTTCAGATCTCAGAATTTAAAAATTTTCTATAGAAACTGATCTTAAAATCGCCAAAATGTTGAACAAGTCGCCAAATTTAGAACCGTTTAATAAAAGAATTCACATCCCCTAAAAGCGAAAACTTGTTTAAGAGCTCTTTATTAGAAAAAATGAATTTCCAAATGCTTATGTTCACTTTAGTTCTTGCTTAGAAACTTGAGTATTCCATCATTTATATTAGAAATAGATACAATTTATAACCCATGAAAGCCATTCAAAAGATAACCATATATGTCAATGAATCGCCAAAAATATTCCTCCAAAATGCTAGTTCACACTTAAAATGGCAGTCATAAAAACAGACAGAAATTTCAGATGATTAAAATTAAGGACCTTTTGCTGATTTTGGCAAAAATCAAGGACTTTTAAGGACCAAAAATCGATTCCAAAAAATTTGAGGCCTTTTAAGGACTCTTAAGGACCATACGAACTCTGTGTTTATGAAATTGTTAATTTGCAAAATTAACAATGAAGCATATATAATCTTAAAAAAATCAAAATGTACTAAAAAAAGGGGGGAAGGATACTTATTTATTTT